AGTGGTCATTGCTTGGCCAGTGCAGCCCAGTTTTTTTCTGGCCGCCTTAGGTTTAGGGTTGTGGACATCCTGTGCATGGCCCATCCCCACTACCCCAGGTACCTAGCCCTAGGGCAGTGATGGCGAACCTATGACACCTGTGTCAGAGGTGACATGTGAACTCACTTCTTTGGTTGATTTTTATTTGTTAAATGGCATTTAAATATATAAAATAAATATCAAAAATATAAATCTTCATTTTACTATGCTTGCAAATATCAAAAAATGTCTATATGTGACACAGCACCAGAGTTAAGTTAGGGTTTTCCAAAATGCTGACACGCTGAGCTCAAAAGGTTCGCCATCACTGCCCTAGTGCATGGAATACATACACGATGGGCATTCTCTGAGGGTATCTGAGATTGAGACGTCAGCCTGTACTGGGACTGACCAGTTATCCCAGCAGCTCAGAATTACATATTTTCTGAAATTTCCTATTAGTAAGGAAAACAACTGCTTAAAAAATGAAGTAAATGCAGATTGTTTCCAGTAAAAATATTAGAATAGGCATATATGTTTGTTTTTAATATGGAAAGTTTCATGAATTTGCATGTCATCCTTGCGCAGGGGCCATGCTAATCTCCTCTTTATCGTTCTAATTTTAGTATATGTGCTGCCGAAGCAAGCACGGCGTATACGTTTGTAATAGCCTGTGTGAGAACTGCCATTTGTGTACTTTTACAAAAGGCGGGGGGTTGGGGGGGGGAGGCACTGCTGCCTCACAAGATTCTGCCTTGTAGGATATCACCCCAGAAATGCACACAGCTTTCTGTTGGGATATGTCAGAGGCATTAATATTAAAAAGACATTTTATGATCACAGGATAGTGGCTAAGTACCATTATATCATGGTGCTTTTGTCATTTCTGTAGCTGTATTTTGTTATTCTCTCAATCCTATGTGAAGATACAGAGTGTCATATACTAACGTATGAAAACTAAAGAGAAACACTGAGAGGATAGTATGTCTGTCTGAATATTTTGAGTTAGAGATTCTATATGAAAAGTTATTTTATAGACCTGGTTTATAATCTTTGACATGCCAGTGATAAGCAATGATGTTTTCAGATGAAAGGAAATGTATCAAGTGACAAATAGAAGGATCTTTTTGTTTGTCCTGATTGGTTTATTGAAATCTGTGGCACTTAAACATTGGGGTGGGGGCTTTCTTTTTTTTAAGGCTATGAAAATGATTCCATGGAAGACTTGAAGGAGATGACTTCAGTATCCTCTCGGAAGAGAGGTAAAAGAAGGTACTTCTGGGAGTACAGTGAACAACTCACACCATCACAGCAAGAGAGGATGCTAAGGCCATCTGAATGGAACCGAGACACCTTGCCAAGTAATGTGTATCAGAAAAATGGCTTACATCATGGTAAGAGGGTATTGTGATCAAAGGTTTTGTGTCACTTTACATGTTTAATCATTGTATGTAGGTGTTCAACCCTTCCTAGCAAACTGAAGAGCGGAGCAGCAGAGCTGCTGTGTTTGCACAAATCGCTTTACCAGGGTTGAGAACCATTACCGAAACAGGGAGGCAAGCCTGTGCAAAAATGATTTCATGTTGAGTTACTTCCAAGAAATGATTAGGGAATTGCTGATTTCTGACCTGTCACAGTTGCTATATAAACCATAGGGTTGGGAAGAAAGAGAATGGGCTCCGGCACTCACTTTCATTCTCATTCAGTCTGGAGGGGAGATTGGGATCCACATGGTGGTGGGAAGAAAGAGGGGCGGGGTGGGGGGCGGTGGGAAGAAAGGAAAAATAGTTGTATGAGAAGGAATGGAGAGAGAAGAGTGGAAAATAAGGGTTGAGAGAAGCTTATAATCTTAGGTTAAATTTCGAATTGTGAACCCAAGACAATATAATTAAATAGAATTCCTTCTGCAAAAATGTTATTTTTATGTTAATCCAAAATCTGTTCCATCCTTTTACATTAACCCATAGTGGAGGGCATTAGTAAGTTTGGTGCTCAGTACACAGTTTAATAATCACTCATGCTGCAGACTTCAGTTGCTAAGCATTTTTGACACTGGAATTGGATCAGAAGTATATGTGTGCCTCATTTTCCTGATACCCAGGTCTATACTTGACTGTCTCTCAATGAATAAAAACCCAGTTTTTGCCTTGAGATCAATTTTTCTACCTCAGTGAAAAGACAGGACCAATAAGTAGGTCCAGAATAGTGGAGAGTACTAGGAAAATGGTGTGGTGTGCGTGGTTCTGAGGACAGAGCCATCCCTCGTGCCTGCAGGGATACAGGAGCCCTGGAATCTTCCATGAGTTATATACCAAACTAATGAAAGAAGACCTTTCAAAACAGGCAACCTTTACTTGATGGACTTTTGAATCCAACACAAGACTCTCTATATTTGACACATTTTCAGTCAGAGCATCAAAGATCTAAAATCTCCAGAATCATTTTCTGACCATATGGTATTACACCCTAGCCCTGATTTTTGTGTGCAGGTGAACTTGCACTCCAGTCCTAAAGTTTGAGATGCTTTTTACTATCATGCAAATAATAAGAATCTGTCACACTGGGGCTGGAAACCTAGAGGTGATGAGCAATGAAAAGGCTGGAGCTGCATCATATTACCCCCATTTCTTGCTGGCACAAGGTGGGAAAGAGAGAAGGCTAGCGGTTCTAGCAGAGGGTGCTAACATTCTGAGACTTCTGAAACATGCTAAGACTTCTGAGCAAGAAAAGGGGGGTGAGGGAGATGTGGTTTTAAAATCTGGCTGTAGAAAATGTATCTCTTGTTAAATAAAATGGTGTAACTTAAACCTCGTTTAAACCGTCTATAGGAAAATACGCAGTAAAGAAGTCAAGGAGAACTGACGTAGAAGACCTGACTCCCAACCCTAAAAAACTGCTGCAGATAGGCAATGAGCTGCGGAAACTGAACAAAGTGATCAGTGACCTGACCCCAGTCAGTGAGCTCCCCTTAACTGCCCGGCCACGGTCAAGGAAGGAAAAGAACAAGCTGGCTTCCAGGTCAGTGCTGGTCATGTTCATTCATCTAAGTGAAGTCTAGGACAGTGATGGCGAACCTCTGACACACGTGAGAGGTGACACACGTCAGAGGTGACACACGAACTCATTTTTTTGGTTGATTTTTCTTTGTTAAATGGCATTTAAATATCCTATATAATAGAAGCCTAATATGCAAATCGACCAAAAGGTGGAATGACTGGTGGAATGACCGGTTGCTATGACGTGCACTGACCACCAGGGGCAGACGCTCAATGCAGGAGCTGCCCCCTGGTGGTCAGTGCACTCCCACAGGGGGAGCACCTCTCATCCAGAAGCCGGGCTGACAGCTGGTGAGTGCAGTGGCGGTGGTGTGGGGGCCAGCAGGGGTGGGGGCCAGCTGGTGAGCAGGAGGCAGTGGGGGGCAGGGCCAGCAAGCAGGCGTGGCCAGGCCAACCAAGGCGGGTGCCAATAGGGGATCCCTTGATTGCCCCCACGAATTGCCCCACAGATTGGCCCTGATCACCAGCCATACCTAGGGACCCTACCCATGCACAAATTTTGTGCATCAGGCCTCTAGTATAAAATAAATATCAAAAAGATAAATCTTTGTTTTACTATGGTTGCAAATATCAAAAAATTTCTATATGTGACTCGGCACCAGAGTTAAATTAGGGTTTTTCAAAATGCTGACATGCTGAGCTCAAAAGGTTCGCCATCACTGGTGTAGGAGGTGAGGCTAGCCTGGCAGCGAGCTTGTGTAGAAGCTCATGCGACCCTCAACCATTTATTCAGAAATGGACTTTTATAAAAGAGAATTAAAATTTTTCCTTTGAAAGTAAAAGGCACTATTTATGCTTAATGGAAAAAGATCTTAAAGAGGTAAATGGGCACAAGTCTAGTATAACAATGAAAATTTTTATCATAGCCTCGTGCTTTATTTTGTAGTAATTAAAATTCACCCCTTTTAATGTACACTTCTATGAGTTTTGACAAACACACTGATCATATAAGCACCACCACAATCAAGATACTGTACATTTTCATCTCCTTCAAAAATGTCCTCATGGTCCTTTGTAAACCCTTCTCCCGCCCTTAACCCCTCACCACCGCCAATCTGTGTTTTATTTGTAGTTTCTAGAATGTCATATAGATGGAGTCATGCTGCAGGTAGCCTTTTGACGGAGTTCTTTGGTTCAGCATGATGCATGTGAGATTCAGCCATGTTGCTGTGAGGAGTAATAGTTTGTGCCTTGGTATTGCTGAGCAGTATTCCTTTGTAGGAATGTGCTATAGTTTATCCGTTCACCAGTTGAAGGACGTTTGGGTTGTTTACAGTTTGGGGCAATTGTGAGTAAAGCCACCACAAACATTCACTTAGAGGTGTTTTTGTGAACATAAGTTTTCATCTCTTTAAGGTAAATACCCAGGAGTGTATGTTTAATTTTTTAAGAAAAACTGTCTAAGTAGTTATCTCCAAAGTAATAAAGCAAATTTTTTTAGAAGTTACTACTTCCCAGAGTAGCTTCATGTCCTATTTTATATCCCCACCAGCAATCTATGAGGGCTTTATTTTTGAATATGCTTAAAATTTTTTAAAAATCAGCTTGGATAAATTATTATATTGTGGGTTTTTGGTAAATGAGTTACTATCGTTAGGCAGTGGTTTTTGGTTACTATTAGAAAATGTCTGACAGCAATAAAGAGAAGTATATTCTGAATGTTCGCTTAAAAAAAGTGAATTGTTTCTTCCTTTCACAGAGCTTGTCGATTAAAGAAAAAAGCCCAGTATGAAGCTAATAAAGTGAAATTATGGGGCCTCAACACAGAATATGGTAAACCTACACCTTTAAGAATTTGATTAACCTCCTGTTACTTTGCTGACCACTCTTTTCCTTAGGTTTTGTTATTTGCGTTCCCTGTATTCTGCCCAGCCTCCTTTTTGTTAATCCATTCAGTAAGCTACATGCTCTTCTTACTCATTCCTGTCCTAGTGTGAGTGTCTGCATCTGGGGCTTCCCAGACAGATCTCATCTCTGCCCTGAGGAGCTCATTCACTTGTGAGCATAGTCATTTCTTACTTTTGTGGTGGTGTTGCTGGGTTAGCCAGATGTGCTGACTACTGTTTATGTGAGTCTTTGAGTGGATAGTTCAGATCTCTGGTTTACAAGGTCGGTTCCACATTGGGTTTGTCTCTGTTGAAATACAGATTTCTAGGCTTCTTCCCAGACCCTTTGAACTGTAGTCTGTGCAAGGAGTGCCCAGGGATTTACATGTTGGGCACCATCTTGGTTACTCTTATGCAACCTTCCTAGCATATTTTGGGAACCGTTGGTTTAGATCAGTACTTCCCAATCTTTCACGTCATGGCTCATGTAGAAAATGATCGTCTCTAAGGCATTCTGGACTATAACAGGGTGTCCCACTCAGGAAGAGGCCCCTGTGGGGGAGAGGACCATTCTCATACACCTAGAACCCTTAACACATTAAGCGCCATGTTAGTCACCGCTGACCGACACTATACTTTGCATCCGGAACTCGGAACTCATCGGTCACTGGTGCCGCCAGCGTATTGGTGAAATCGGGTATCTCTGGCTAAAGGGAAAGGAAGACAAGACAGGCTTGGTGCTTAACGTGTTAATAGCACACTAGGGGGTGAGAAAGCTCTGGCTTGAGCTGTGTCCCTCCTTTCTCCCTTGCTCTGTTACTGTTCCTTACGCTTGGTACCATAGAGTTTGCATGTTCCTTTGCCTCTAAAATTGTCAACTTCACTGTGTAGCTTTTCGACTAAGTTGTATCAGAAAGTGGGACAGTGGCAAAATGATCAATTATTATTTGTGTGTCTAGAGATTTTAAGTCCAGCATGATGTCTGGCACATCGGTGCTCATTAACTTGTGTAGTTTTTCTTAATCGTTGATCGTGATTATCTTCTTTCCATTTGTGAGGGCAGAAAGAGGATTTCCAGCTGTGAAGTTTATAACTTGTTACTCGAACTGATGTTTTTATTTATTAATGGCCTTCTAATCAAGGTACATGAATTAGATGAAACAATAGTTGGCTTCTTGGAATGGAAATCTCCATTTTCCTACTATTCTTTCTTGCTGTTGAAGCATTTTGAATTTGAGCTCTGTGAATATGTATAGATGTAATTATTGTAATGTCACGGCATTTGTATGTCTTTCAGAACCCAGCTGGCTCACACTGCAGGGGGATGTGGTGGGCCACTGGGAGCCTCCTGGGTCTATGTTTCTTTGGACACATGTTGGCATCTTTCTTTGTGTTGTTCAGTTAATGTATTTATCCATAATTATATATATCTCTGTGGCTGTATATTTTTGCATTTGTTAAATCAATTGACCGGGTATGTATGGGTCTACTTCTGAACTCAGTATTCTGTTCCATTGATCTATTTGTCTATTTATTTTATGTAAACGATCTTGATTACTGTATTTCATAGTAAATCTGAAAGTCAGGTAGTGTTAGTCCTTGCTAGTCCTCCAATTTCGTTCTTCCCTTTCCAAGTTGTTTTGGCTATTCTAGGTCCTTTGCATGACCATATAATTTTAGAATTAATGTATCACCTTTTAAAGAAAAAGCTTAGTGAAATTTGATTTGGATTGCTTTGAGTGTAAATCAATTTTGAGAGAATTACCATCTTAACAAAATGGAGTTTTCCAATTCATTAACTTGGCATCTCTTTCTATCTAGTTAAGGCTTCTTTAATTTCTCTCCATCTTCTTTTATTGTTTTCAGTATAGAGTGCTTGAATATCTTCTGTGAGATTTATCCCTGGGTATTTTATATTTTTTTTTGGTACTGCTGTAAATGGAATTATCTTTGAAACTTTATTTTCAAACTTTTTGCTGATTATAAATGCATCTGAAATGGTTTTTTTAGTATTCTTATATCTTACCTTGCTGAATTGGTTTGCCAGTTCTAGTAGTCGGTGTGCAGGTGCTCTGGGATTTTTGTTGAAGCAATTACCATTCTCAAGTAGGGAGAGGATTGTGTGTCAGTCCGCACCAGAGGGTATGTTTTCATTGACTTCATAGAGAGGGAAAGGGAGAGAGAGAGAGAGAAACACACTGATGTGAGAGAGAAATGCACCTCAACCGGGGACTGAACCCTCAACCTTTCGGTGTATGGGACGATGCTCCAGCCAACTGAGCCACACCAGCCAGGGCTAAATACGGAAGGTTTTAGTTCTTCCTTTCTGATCTTTATGCCTTTTATTTATTGTCATTGCCTATTGCGATGTCTAGGACATTGAACACAAGTGGTGATTACTTGGTTTGCAATTTTGGGGTGGGGGTGAGTAACTTTTCCCATTTAATTATGATGTCGGCTGTAGGCTCTTTTTGCAGATGAGATGCCGCTATCATTTGGAGTAAGTTGAATTTTTTTCCTAGTTTCATTGATCAAGAATAGGTATTTAGTATTGTCATATAAGGGATTTTTTTGCATTTATTAGAATAATCATGTTGTATTATCCTTTTTTTCTTACTAATATATCGCATATTTACCTGTTAATATGGTGAATTACATTAACTGATTTTTTAATATAAAACCAACCTTGCATTATTAATAAACTCTACTTGGATATGGTGTATTTTCCTTTTTATAGTAGAGTCTATTGCAAATAGTTCATTAAAGATTTTTGTGTCTATATTCAGTAGGGATATTAGTCTATAATTTTTCCTTTTTATAATGTCTTTGTCACGTTTAGGTTTTGGGCTATCCTTGCCTTATGGAATGAAGTGAGCCATAATCTTTATCTTTTTAAAAAACTTTAAGATCAATTTTATTTCTTCATTGTATGTTTGATAGAATTTGCCATTAAAACCATCTGTTTTTTGGGGGGCAGAATATTTTTTGATAAATTCAACTCCTTACTAGAAATAGGCTGTTAGATTTTCCATTTCTTCTTGTTTTTTGTCCATTTCATCCAAGTTGTTCAATTCGTTGGCATAGCATTTTCTTATTATCTTTTTAATGGCTCTAGATTCTGAAGTAATAACCCCTTTTTCATTCTAGATAAAGATAATCGATTGGTCTAGCTGGGGATGGGGATTGGGGGTAGGAGGAGGTACCCATTTTGTTGGTGTTTTCAAAGAACCAGCTTTAGGCTTCAACTTTCTCTTTCTTTTGTGTTTGTGTTCAGTTTCATTGATTTCTGCTATTATCTTTATTATTTTCCTCCTTCTATTTACTTTTGGTTAATTCTGCTCTTTTTAAGTTTTTTTTAAGATAGGGAAATTTGTTCTTAAATCTTTAGTCTTTGAAGGACTTTGATTTATTTAATAAACATTTACTAAGATCTTATGAATTGATATACCAGGCACTGTCATAGTTCTTAAAGCTATGAGGACAAATAGGGCAAGTTGCTTACAGGATAGTGGACATTGATACATGTCTTCAGTGTTGTATCAAAAGTGGCACATCAGCCCTAGTTGGTTTGGCTCAGTGGATAGAGCCTTGGCCTGCAGACTGAAGGGTCCTGGGTTTGATTCCAGTCAAGGGCACATGCTCAGGTTGCGGGCTCGGTCCCCAGTAGGGAGCGTGCAAGAGGCAGCCAGTCAGTGATTCTCTCTCATCATTGATGTTTCTCTCTCTCTCTCCCTCTCCCTTCCTCTCTGAAATCAATAAAAATAAATTTTTAAAAAAGTGCACATCATTTGAAATTAGTCTGCTTGGATAAGAAAGCTTATAACTATTACTGCTTAATGTTTTCTTAAATATTTTCCATTTTTTAATTGAATATCTGTTATTTTACATAATTAAAAGCAAATTCTTCTATGTTAGTGACACACTCCACGTGTCTTGTTCTGTCTTACAGATAATTTATTGTTTGTAATCAACTCCATCAAGCAAGAGATTGTAAACCGAGTACAGAATCCAAGAGAGGAGAAAGGACCCAACATGGGGCAGAAGCTTGAAATCCTCATTAAAGATACTCTTGGTAAGAAGAATACTGGATAACTTAATAACAATAACAACATGTAGCGTAAAATATATGCTTCAAGAGGAAAAGAAAAAACTCAAGTGATCTCTTTGTAGTTACTGTTCGTTACAAGTAGTTTTGTCTCTTTTTTTAAGTATATATCTTATTTTTAAATATATTTTTATTGATTTCAGAGAGGAAGGGAGAGGGAGTGAGAAATAGAAACATTGATGATGAGAGAGAGTCATTGCTTGGCTGCCTACTTTTGTCTTTTGAGATTTATCATTCATCAACATCTACTGCCCATTACCACATGTTGTACTTAGATCTCATCACTGAACTATTTTAACTCTTAAGGAAGAAAAACTTCTAGCAATCTTAACTTTCTCTGGGGAAAAGGAAAATAAAGATCTCTGAGCTGTCAGGCCTGCAGCTTATACTGTAGTCAAGGTGCTTATCTATTCGTTTTACCCCTAATAAACGCCACGGGATTCTAACAGACTTGACTGCCTGATTTCCATCCCTGAACAGATTATACAACATGGGGAGGAGCAGAGGCGGGCATCCCGAAGTCGGGCACAGCTCCCTGACCGGGAGAACGGGCAGTTAACACAGGCACAGGCGTGAGAACGCTGGCACCGGACAGATCACTTACAGATCAGCAGCATCCCTAGGGCTTTGAGGCAGAGCACGATCTGTGAAGACCCTGAGGCATCATAAAACGGCTTCGGCTACATTACGTATTCTTTGTGTTAAAGCATTTGTTTTATATTCTTTCAGTACATTTCTGCCTTCTGTTTCTTGTTCTCCAAAATGCTTTTCAGTCTTTCTTTGTTAAATAAAGGGAGGAATTTAGTATTACAAGAAAAGTTTCTTTTTGCCTTCTTATTTTTTAATTTAAAGGCCGTCTATGTTGTTAAGTTTGTATATTCCCTTTACATCTAAAAGTCAGTTGTACCAGATACAAAATCCTTGACTCATTTTCTTTCTTTGAGTATGTTACATATGTTTCTCCATTTTTCTCTGGCACTAAGTGTTGCTATTAAAAAGCTAATAATTGCCTAATTTTTTCTTTATAAGTCATTTGCTATTTTTGCCTAGAAGTCGACAGGATTTTTTTCTTTTTCTTTAAATTCCAGTAGTTTTACTAGACTGTATCTTGGCATTGGTCATTTTAGGTTGCTATTCTCGTGTGCAGTGTGCTCTTCGGTATGTAGTTTCCAATCTCTCTTTTTTTTCTCTTTAAATCAGGCATTTATAAACAAGAGCGCATACATTAATTACATAAAAACAGCTTTCGAATCGTAGAGCAAGTCATATTGTCATTAGCAGCAGCAAAGGAGAGAACTGGAGGCGGTGGGTGTCCTGGCGGGGACAGAGGTCGAGCTTTGTTTTTTACGTGAGGAAGGACAAGCTTCCTCGGGAACCCACGGCAGCTCGGCCCAACTCAGCACCCGGTCTCTTTAGGACTTGCTCCCGTGCTTTGGTTTTCTTCTTTAAGGACTTATTACCTGTGGGTTGGTTTTTCTTTTTTTTTAATGTTAAAATTCTTTCTCCCTTTCACTTCTATTTCTCTTAAAAGCATTATTTGTTACATTGATTTGCTCTTGTGTTCCTTTTATTTATTTTATTTTTATTATTTCTTAATTGTTTTATTGTTTAAAGTATTACAAAGAGTATTACATATGTCTCCTTTTTTTCCTGCCCTTGACAATCCCCTGGCCTCTCTTGTGTTCCTTTTAGTTTTGCCTTAATTACAAGAGTTAATTTTTTTTTTAATTTCTAAATTATTTCTGTTTTTCTATTTCTCATTATGCTGTTCTGTCATATCTTGTATCATTTTCTTTAATGTCTTGCAGTTCATTTTGAAATAATAATGGGTTATAGTTTTCATCCTTTTTATGGTTATTCATGCCTTTTAGGCACACTTTTATTGTTTGTAGCAATCTTCTTATTTTCTTTGGTCCTACTTTTTATGGGATTTTGACCTTGATACTTTTCTGTTATTTATTTGTATGTGAAATTAGTTTTTTTTTTGAACTTTCAAAAGAAAGTTTTGTTCACAATAGCTTTTCTAACTTCAAACTTCACAGAAACCCCTGTTTTCGGTTAATGTAAAAAAAAATTGCATTTGTTCATGAGATGGTCATTCATGTCCAGCCACAAGAGAGGACACAGGAGAGGAGCAGGGAAAGAAAGTTCATCCTAGAGAGACCAGTCACTGCAGGCCACAGTGAGGCCACAGTGAGGCACAGGGCCGGAGTCTAAGGGAACCCCCCAGCCAGCAGGTGGGGAAGGGCGAGAGAGAAGCAACCAGGGAAGTGCCCTTCATAGGGGTCAAGCTGGTACAGAAGCAAAGGTGTGAGGGGATTTATTTGATTCATTTGAGTCATTAGGCCACAGTCAGGTGAGGGCAAGAAGAGGCACTCTGGCAGGTCCAGCTTGTCACACTGTGCACACGGCAGCTTTCTTCCTGCGATTTCTTGTTCTGTGTCCCTCCCATTTTATCTGGACCATTCTTTCTTATCTGTTGTCCCTGTCTTGCTCAATTTTTATTCTTATCCATTCTGGCTCCTGTCCTGCAAGGGAGTCATGGCTGGTCAGTTTTCTGAGTTCACATGGGCTACGCACTGCAGCCCCTTCTCCTCTTCCTGTGGGCTCCTTGCACTCACCTGTGGGCTAGATCTCTCACAGTCCAGCTGTTTCCTGTCGGCCTCCTGTGCCTTCCGGTGACTCACCTGTTGGCTTTTGCAGACTTCTTTTGTTCTCAGGGCCATTACTTCTTTTGACTCATTCTGCACAAACACCGATATTGTTGATACCATGCAGGTTTTATAGCTTTTCGTAGTTTCTTCCCATCCTCTTGAATTTTGGGTTCCTGTCACTTGTTTAAATTTTCCATGGCCTTATGGGGTTTTTGTTTGTTTGTTCAAGTATATTTTTATGGATTTTTTTTTGATTGAGAGGAAGGGAGAGGGGGAGAGAGAAACATTAGTTGGCTGCCTCCTGCATGCCCCCATCGGGAACTGAGCCAGCAACCCGATCATGTGCCCTAACTGGGAATCAAACTGGTGACCTCTTTGTTTAAAATTAATTAATTAATTTTTTGTTAATCCTCACCTGAGGCTATTTTCCCATTGATCTTTAGGGAGAGTAGAAGAGAAAGGGAAAGACAGAGAGAAACATTGATATGAGAAAAACACATCGATTGGTTGCCTCCTGCATGAGCCCTGGCCAGGGCCCAGACTGGGGGGGAGCCTGCAACCAAGGTACGTGCCTTTGACTGGAATTGAACCTGGGACCCTTTGGTCCACAGGCCGACGCTCTATCCACTGAGCAAATCTGGCCAGGATACAGTGTCTTTTTCTTAAAGGTTTGGTAGAACACTCTTTGAAACTATCTGGTCCAGTGGGTTTTTTGGTAATTAACTTAGAAAACATCCTATGTCCTCTATGATAATTTGTCAATTAGATTATAACCTTCTGGACTGTTTTGATAATTTATATATTCCTAGAAAATTATTCCCTTCCTCCAGGCCCTCCAATGTATTAAAATTGCCTTTGTTTTGTAATTTTCTCTCTATTAGTGGCTAGTGTTCCATTTTTATTTTTTATTTGATACCTATTGTGTTCTTTATTCCTTGAGTCAGTTATAGTATGTCTTACTTAATCTCCCAAGGAACCATCTCTTGAATTTATTAGTTTTTCTAATTTCTTCAGTTAAATGCTTAACTCATTTCTTTTTATTTTCTTATTATTAACAATTAAAAGCCTTTGAAATTTCTTTCAACCTCTATGTTAGCTGTATTTCATAAATTCTGATGTCGTATTTTAGTTGTTTTCTGAATTCTTCGTAACTTTAGGTTTGATTTACTCTTTGACCTAAGAATTGTTTGAGAGAGATTAAAAATTTTCCAGAAGGTAGGGATCATTATTTCTTAGTTTTATTATTAACTTCTATTTTTTGTGATTTATTGAGATTCTATAGCTACCTAATATATCATTACACTTTTAAATGTTTTGTAGGCTTTTGAAAAGAAGATGTATTTTCTATTTCATAGTAAGATTCTAGTACATGTCTATTAGATGTTCTTAATTAGGTCTTGTCTTCTTTTCCTTTTTATTTCTGTAGGGTGTCCCATCTACATAATGTAGCACGGAGCAAAGCCCCTCTAGGGTGCTTCAGTGTCTTCTCGTGTTTTCTGTGGCCTTGCTTTTGAATGCTGGGCCGTTTGAATAAGATTCCTACGGCTAGGTCTTAATGATGGAATGTAGTCTTTATCATTGTGAATTCGGTCTTATCTGATATTATAATCATGAATGCAGCTTTCTTACTATTTATTTGTATATGCTTGATATCCCTTTGCCTACCCTTTTAATTTCTATCTTTCTGAATCACTGAACATAGATACATCTCTTTTAAAAACACATTTAAAATTTAATTTAATTTTTGATTTGCATACCATAAAATTCACTCTTAGATTATTATATATAATACAGAGTTGGATTTTCTTTGTTAGTGAATCTGGCAGTTTTCTCCAATAGGTGAGTTTAGCTCATCTTTATTCTTGATATTTGTTCAGTTTGAGTTCTGTCATTAAAGATCTGTTAGGATTTGTTCATATGGCTTTTTTATTTTTTTTGCCTTTGCCATGTCATTCACTGTATGATCCATTTTTATAGTTTCATTTTTGTATGGTCTGATAATTTGCAAGCTCTGCATTTTTGTCTTTTGGGCTGTTACTACTTGTCATCTACCCCACTTTAAAATGTTGATTTTTCTTTATGGTCATCCTTGATTTGACCTTTTAATCTTAAAATTGTGGGCTCCAATTTAATTGTGGAATTATTTTCTGGGCTGCAGTAACTAGGAGCAGAGCACTCACCAGGGGCCTGTGTCAGCTGAGGGCCAGCACACTCCCACCAATGCCCTCTCCTTTCTGTGTCTAAGTGCCCCTTTTTGTTCTTTCCCTCAGGCCTCCCAGTTGCTGGGCAAACCTCAGAATTTGTTAACCAAGTGTTAGAGAAGACCGCAGAAGGCAACCCCACCGGAGGCCTTGTAGGACTAAGGATACCAGCATCAAAAGTGTAATCAGCTTCATTGGACCTCTGGTCAGAAATGTCTGAGTTTGTTATGTTATTCATTGTAAATTTTCATTCTGTTTTGCATGTCAGTTTGGCATTATGTACACATTTACAATTAGGTTACATTGTTTTAAGAACTAAGTAGCATAAGCGACGCATGATCCAAAATACTTGATTATTGCATTTTCAGAGCATAAACCATGGTTACAACTGCTACTGGCATCAGAATTGAAACTTGTATATTTAACTAAATGTTTAGATACAGATTTCAAAAATCTGTTAAAGAAAAACATTTTGGAGGGGTGAGGATATTAGTAAATGCCATATATTGTGGCAGGTTTATGCTCTGAACCACACAAAAAAATCGAGGAAGCATTTTTAAAAAACAGTTTAGATTGTTTTTAGAATTACTGCTTTTTGTTCGAATTTTCCACAACCATTAATGTCACTTGTACATGGCACAACCCAGCACTCATGCCCGTGTGCCATATTAGATATTCATTTTCCGAGCTCAATATCGTGTGTGTGTGTGTATACACACACACACACACACACACACACACACCCATATGTATATGTCTGTGCAAGTAAGAAAAAAAAGCATATTCTTTGTGCCTTGTATTTTGGAGAAACTATAAAACTGGTAATATTTTGTATGATGAAAACCCTAATAAGGAAAAACAAGATATATAGATGGAAAAATTATGGGGTTTAAATGTTTTTTTGTTGTAACTCTTTTTCAGATTTTTTGAATGTATATAGGACTATGTTGAAATGTAGATATATGCCACAGAGTCTATGTATTGTATAAAAAAAACCACAAAAAAACAAAAAAAAGAGATGGCTCTAGAAAACTCATATTTCGGTACTTGACCGGAAGAAGACAAATACTTGCACATTATTACGATTGTTTTATTTTTTGTACCAAAGACAAATGCAACTGATATGGCAAACTGCCAGTCTAAGTAAAGTTTTGCACAGCTTACATGATACTGTATGAATGTATGACTAAAAGGAGAAAAAAAGAAAATGAAAAGGTCAGGGTTAGGGATCTTACTGAACTGTGAATTTTATTTCTGTTTGGGTCCAATTATCTACAGAAGGAGCATCCACACATATAAATATTATTTTGCTGTTCCTCTAGTTCGCTTCCATAGTAGATAAGTTGGTGGCCATTTAGGTGTCTGTCTTTTTATTTCTGCACTTATTGTAGGAAATTTTAATATATTTCATTTTAGTAAGCTATTGATAAAATAGTTTTTGGCCTTGAAAATTTAAAGGTTATTTAGTATACTTCCACCAAACAACCAAAATACAGATTATTTTTATTGTATTATGTACATATATATATGTAAAGAAAGAGAAAAGCTAAAAATATCTAATTCTTTAGTTGCCACTTTTCCAATCGATGTATTATTGTGCATGTAATATTTTCAAAGATCAACACAAGCTTAAAACAAAAACAAAAAAATTTATAGATTTTTATATTTTTGTACAGGTATTTTCAAACTAGCTTCTTCAGACTTACATGTGACTTTTATAGTTTCTAGAACTGAGAAATATTAACACATTTAGTTTTTAGGTGCTCTGTTTTGCTCACATAAAACAGCTTCATTAGTCAGTGTTTTAACTATGTTAAAGCTTTATCTCTTGAGGAGAAATTTCTTTGTCAAGGCAACATTATAAACCTTTCCACAGATCTTTCCATCCTATCTCTCTTACTGTTTTATTCTCAAATCTTGTGGTTTGAAGTCTGAAAAAAACTATACTTTAAAAAAAAAATTCCTACCTAACCAGAAAAAAATAATACCAAAAATTTCAGACTTAGCTGCTAGGAGAGTATCTGTTTCTCCATTACCTGTCGGAGAATTTATTATTTAGTTATATTTTGTCTGTATAGTGTATTTCATTTTCTTTTACTCACCTCACCCCCGTCCATTTGTAAGTGACAGCACATGAAGCTATAGCTTACAAAGGTTTGGATCTGAAACACGCAGCAACGTCTGAGCAATGCTTACCAAGCTTCTTTGACATGATGAGCTGTGATGCACCAGATTTCCTGTGTGCTGGGTGGAAATGTACCTGCTTAGTGCATTCACACTGAGCTGATGATAAGCTCAGATCGATGGTTGAATAGAGTATATAAGTTCATTGTTTAAAGTGTTTCCTTTTTCAGTGGGAGAAGGCAAAGCATAAGTTTGTAACTTGGAAGTATATGAAGTTTTGGCAGAGTGTGTCTGGCAAATTAAAATGTATTTCAAAATCTGGCAGTTTTGCAATCAGGTGAAAATCACTTCATGATAGAGATTCAACTGATGAGGTTTATAAAATTGCCCCTTTCTAGCTGCTCTGTTAGAAATTCTGGTTTTTGATACTTTTTTCCTCTCTGCAAACCAGAATTTGATTTTTTGGTCTTGCATTTCAAAAAAGACTTTGAATCTGTTTAGTAGATTCCATATCCTTGCATTTCAGTGTTTTATATGTACTACTTAAGTTAAATAGTTAAAAGCTTTTAAATAGTTGAGCTTTTTAATGTTGACACTTTATTTTGTACCTATTTATATATGTATGTATATCTTAGAAAAGCACTTTGTTAAAAAAAGCATTTTATATGATTCCTGCCATTTGCTGCTAAATCTGGGCTGGTCAGAATGCTGCAGCGATACTTGATCTCAATAAAAACCTGGCAGTAAAATGTAGAGTGGAAGTTAAATCCTCTTGCTGTTTAACTTATCATAAAGATGACATAGGCAAGCTGTGCAGCTTTACATTTTAACCAGGGGACTCTGTGGCATTTAAAACCGTCTAGAAATGGTTGTACTTTAATGCCAGTAATAATCTGCTTCCTCTATTGTCATTAAATATATCCGTTTAGTGTATCACACAAACAGAGCTTATGAGGGTAATGTAAAAACCCCAGCAATTGTACATGTTCTGTTTTTGAAATTGTGGCATGTGTATTTGGGTGAAGACCGTTAGGGAAGAGCTCTCTGGCGGCTTTCTGTGTTCATACATGGTATCCAGATCGTCATAATGAAGTCCAGAACCCTACTTCAGTGAAGGCATTGTGAACTCACCTCCAGTGAACCCCTTGTTCCAAAAGCAATGATAGGAACGTTGACCTAGTACTACTATGATTTAAAAACAAAAAAAAAAAACACAAAAAAGTTCTTCCTCGTTTTCGATACACTGGATCTTTGTAGAATTTGTCTCCATATGAAAGCATGCTGTCCAGTTGTTCTTGTTAAGATCTTGTCTAAGTTTTGAATTGGGTGCCACACTTTTTCAGTCAATACGATTGCTTGTTCTACTGTACCATGTATGATTCTTGTCCCTTCCTATATTCTTCATGACAGATTATGATGTGGCTTTATATTGTGCCTTACTTGTACATGAAAACAAAACGTCTCCATTCCCTCCACTTCCTCAGTCTTTCACTTTGACCTTTTTGGTAAGAGAATCAGAGCTATTACAAAAACATCATGAAGGAGTTCAGATGGGTACAGTTTCAAATTCCCTCTCTTTAGAGTTATTTTATATTTGTATGAAAGACCAGTTTTGAATGGTCTTTGAATATGAGGGGGAAAGATTAGCGGTAATTTCACTACATCCCTCTTTTCTGACTTTCATGACTTTGTCATACATCTTTCTGATGCTTGACTTTATTTGCTCCTTTACAATAGTCTGCATTTAAAGAAAGGTGTGTTCCATTCATCAGCTTGAAATTAACTCTTTCATTTTTCCAGAATTTTTTAGAAGAGTACCCGTTTTGTTTGTTTTATAAAACAGATGACAAGTCTCTTTAAAAGAAACAGAAGTACAGTACTTTTGAAATACAATGCTGTTAGTTTGGATTTCTTTTTTATATATAATACTCATACAATTATCTGATGTTTGCCTTCATTAATAAAGCTGTTAGTTTATTCACCAAAATGTCAAGAATGGATGTGCTTTTCTTTATTCCATACATTTAAAAATATTTTAGCTGCTAAGATTTAGTTCACTCTCTAAGAGACGAATTCAAGTTGCCTTCAGCA